AGTCAAATTATGTGTCTTTGTGTGATCAATATTGTTAATGCTTGGAAACGTGTCTTGATGACACTGTTACTCATACATAAAAAAACCAATGTGACGTCTTTTGAATTAACAAAAGTCTTGAATAGGTTATGAAGGTAATCGACAATGTTTGGTATCTTAACTTGTTGTCTATGATGTGTCAATTACACCAACGAGATAAATGCTTGAACAAATCAATATAACATTTCGCGAAAATAAAATAAACCTATATTCATAATTTCACATACGAGAAACAATGCCATCAAAACAGGGTTTCAAGCATGTACAATAATGATCATTCAAAGACAAAAAATTTGACTTGGAAACTTTCAAAATACTTCTTATTGATGCTTTTATTGTTTTTGTTTAGTTCGAACTAAGTAAGGGATTGGAGAAAACTGATTCAATATTTAAAGTATCTAGAATAAATATTTGACAAAACATTCTATTTTCTGAAAGTCGTGCTTTTCAAACAAACCTGTTTCATCATGGTTTCTACAGTAACGAATGCCAATCCAAGTTGAAAGATACAAGCTTGTACAGAATTCAAAGGTGAATCATTCTCAAAGAAGTATTTGTTCCTTCACGTATTAATACTATCAAAACATGAAAAATAATGAGAGGTTCATTCTTTATGTACCATCAATTAGAATATATCCGAAGGTTCTGAAAATTATTCTTACAGCTGACAACCAATCTTATTGTCCTTGTATGTCTGCAATGACTCGATTTTTCAAGTTTCTGTTCCAGTCAAAATTATTTTGTGCATCTCATCTTTTATCCTTGTGTTCTATGCATTTGTATATCCTATACCTGCTTTGTCTTCTTCATAAAGATATAGATTGGCTACATATGCTGATGTTTCACTATTCTCGCTTTGTCTTTTACAAACGTTGTCCACTGTTTCATTCTCGAAATGTATAGTTTTTCTTTTCTGCAGAGTTGAAATGAAGGAACGATCGAGTAACAAAATTACCCTATGTTTGGTCATCACATATATAAATATATAAGAGTGAGGATAAACACGATGTAGCCGAAGCATTATTTGATTCAGTTGAGAATCGCTTATAAGAATGCATAAACCAATAGCACTTCCTAACTTGATATTAATAGAATTATACCAGAAGAAAAAAAATGAAAAGAAGAAGAATAAAAGTTCATCATATTTGTTTTCATTTGGGGCATTCGAAAGAAATAGACATAATACAATTATTGATTATATTTCACTATACTCAGCAGCGAGATTCAAATGTAGTCGGAAAGGTGAAAAGTGAAATTAATTCAATTGCTCCTCTTTTGATGAAGCTATTGTCGTTTTCTTGCAAAAAACAGAAGGTGTGCGAATAATTTTGATTAGAGTAGAAACTCTTCAGTTTTAATATATTTGACCTAAGAATATCAAATATTTAGTAAATCAATATGAAACTTTTTGCAAATATACTAGAAAACTTCCGCTATATTTTTGTGAAAGCAGAAACTCGAAAGGTGAAATTATTGCAGAGATATAATGATAACAAAAATATTTGTCGGCTGTACGAATAATTTTGAGCGCCTATGTATGTATTCTATATTTGTTATTCTAGCATTTAAAAATGGTGGAGGTAAGTATTTCTCAAATTAAATTTTATTGAATTATAATAAGACTAATAATAGGTGCTTTTATTATACCATATTTTTGTACTTATTTTCTCATTGGTACTCCACTTGCTTTTCTGGAAATGTCAATTGGTCAGTTCACTAGTAGGGGTGCAGCAGCTGCTTTTAAAATGTCACGAATGTTTAAAGGTTAAAAAAAAAACGGATTTGTATGTATTTTATCAATGATAAATTTTTTACTTTTGTTGGAAAGGACTTGGTTGGTCGACTGCAATAAATTCATTTTTATGTTCTATTTATTATAATGTTATAATTGCTTGGATTCTTTTCTATTTTTTTGCTTCATTTCGAAGTAAGCTTCAATGGAGTGATTGTGGAAATTGGTGGAACACTGAACATTGTGCTAATCCAGGTATATGTCATTTATATTTCTGTAAATATCAAAAAAATGAATTTCATTTATTCTTTTATAGAGACATTGAATTTTTCAAATTCGACTATTTTTTGCAATAGTATTCATTATCACATAAATTGTACAATGCCAACTCTTCCACCAGAGGAATATTTTGAGTAAAATATAAACTAGAAAAGAATAGAATTTGTTTGTTTTTTTTAATGAATATTGATTATTATTATTTAGTAATTATGTTTTGAGACGAAGTGATTCACTTGATAATTTTGGTTTACCTAATTGGTCGTTGTCATTATGTTTATCATTAGCATGGATTCTTGTTGGTCTTTGCATTATTCAAGGTATTAAATCATCTGGCAAAGTAAATTATTGAAATAGATTCTTCTATTAAATATAATTGATATAATAATGTAATAGGTCGTTTATTTTACTGCATTGTTTCCTTATGTTGTTATTTTTGCTCTAATCATTCGTGGTGTAACTTTACCGGGTAATTTTTTAAAATATTTATTTATTTACTTATTGGATCAATACGATGTATTACATAGGTGCTCGAGTTGGTATTACATTCTATTTGAAACCTAATTGGAACAAAATTCGTCAATTTGATGTAAATATATTCTACTTCTCATGATGTTTAGTAGTAAAGTGAGATTTTTTTCATGATAGTATTTTGTATAATTAGTAATTTTCTTATTGAAATACTGAGAACTTTTATCTATCTTTTTTTTTAATATTTTTTTCAAGGTTTGGATGGCTGCTGCTTCTCAAGTTTGATTTGCTTTTTTTGAATAAATTTTTGCATATTTTAAAATCTCCAATCTAGGTTACATATTCTCTTGGAATTGCATTTGGTTCTATTATCAGTTATGCTAGTTTCAATAAATTTAAAACAAATTATTTTAGGTTAATAATTCTTCATGAATTGAATTTTCTAATTCTATATATATATATTTATATAGGATGTGTATGCTTGTAACTGCATGCGATTGCTTTACTTCAGTGAGTAAATGATTTGTATATGTCTGACTAAACTGTAAATAAAAACAATAGATATTTGCTGGCTGTGCTATTTTTTCCGTACTTGGTTATATGTCATTTAAAACTGGTTTACCTATTGAACAAGTAGCTAAAGCTGGACCGGGTCTTGCATTTATTGCTTATCCACAAGCATTATCAATTATGTCTGGTGGACCATTTTGGGCAGTGATTTTCTTTTTTATGCTTCTTACTTTGGGACTTGATTCTCAGGTAACATGACAAAATAGAAATATGCTTTAATTTTTCATGAAAATGATGTTTAGTTTGGTATGGTTGATGTTGTTATTGCCAGTCTACTTGATACATTTAAACAATTACGTCAACATAAATTATTTGTATCTATTAGTTATTGCATTTTTTGTTATTTACTAGCATTACCAATGTGTGCACCGGTAATATATTGTGTAAAATGTTTCCTACATTTTCTTTTTTTTGTTTAGGGTGGTATTTATTTGTTTGTATGCATATACTTTTCCTGTTTTGGTAATAATTCAGTTTATTTGTAGACATTAATGAATGAATATGCAGCTAGTTTATCTTTAATTATATGCGGATTTCTTGAATTTATGGTTATTGCCTATATTTATGGTAATGTATACAAACAAGACATTTTATTAAGCTTTTTTTCTTCGCAGGTTTTAATAATTTTATGGAAGATATTCGAATGATGTTGGATAAAAGACCTTTAGAACCGTTTTTCTTTTTTACTTGGTGTATTTCTGGTCCGATTATTACTCTAGTACATTAATAATATAATATTTATTACTTAATTTAGTTTAATTTTTCTACAATTAGATCATTTTTTTTTCATCAATTATTCGATTTCAAACACCAACTGAAGGTAATTATGAATATCCAGTATATGCTAATGTGCTTGGTTGGCTTATGGTTTGTTCATCACTCATTTCCATTCCTTGTGTTATGGTCTATGAATTTATTAAAGCATGGAAAGCAACTAACAGTCTTCAATATGAAGTAAAAATCTTTTTTTTTTCGACAATTATGAATATATGCTTGTTGTATTTTAACGGTTATTGAATATATGCCACGTTATCTACGAATGTTAAATTATGCCAGACAACCAGATACAGAATGGGGACCAGCAAAAAATGAAAAACGTTATGGTCGTTATAAACCGAAGATCGAACAATCAACATCCATAAATCAAACGAATGTGAATGATGATGATAATAATTCAGCTTTTAAATTTGAAAATATGCCTCATATACAATTATAATTATTTTTGACTTAAAATATTAAGACTTGAAGTAAACATTACTATGAATTAGTGTAGATTCTAGATCATTTGTTTACGTTATATTTATACTCAGTAAAAGGCATTGAAAAATAAAAAAGATATTTTATTATTCTATGAAATAAACATGTATTTCATAATTGCTACAAGAATATCCAAAGCATTTTTTAGACTTTTTCATTATTATTATATTTCGAATAATCTCAAGTGAATGTGTGCCCTATTTAGTAAGCTGCAGCAGTGGTTAGTATGGTCATAATGTAATGTTGTCTTCTCTTATAAATGAATAACAAATATATAGCTATATCGATGATAACAATATTGGTATTGCATTGATGAACCAGATCCCGAAAATGAAACGAACCGAACTCGAATCATTTTTTCAAATATCAAGTCGAAACTATCTTCAGAGTGTGGGTCAAGATGAAGAGATACAATATAAAAAAAGCAAAGAGAAATATTAGCTGTCTTTTTATTTTTAATTTATATTTTATTTCATTATATCAATTTGTCCATCTATTTTTTTTATGTTTATAAAAATATTTATTTAATCTTTATATTAAGAATTAAAAATTTAGAATTAATTTAAATACAATTTATTATTTCATTGTTCAATTTATCAATTATATCAGATCACTTCAATAATATTATTTTAAATAAGTATATCTCACATTTAACAATAACTGTTATTGATAAAAAACAATAGAAATAAATATTTATAAAATAGTTAATATAATCAATTTATTTCAATTTAAAAACTCCTCTATTATTCAATAAAATTATTAATTTTTCAATATAAATAAAGTATTAAATATAAAACAATAAAGATATTTATTTCGTTATTTAATATATTAATAAATAATAAGAGGAAAGATAATACAATAAGCATATTTAAAATGAGTTAGAAATAAAATATAATAAATTATTTTATGAAGCATTTAAAATTTAAAAAAAAAGACAACATAAAATATAGATAATAAATAGGTAAATTTAAACTTTTTACAATAAAAGAGTAGGTTTATTTTTCCACTTGCTTTTTCTAAAATTTTCTTGAAATATCGTCAGATAAACTATAATAGTACAAAGAGAATATTTTTAATGTTCGATTTTGTTCAATTATTTTATAATAGCTTCGAATGATTGGTCAATTATTAATTTATTAAATGAAATATAACGTTTCTTATTAGGTGAACAAGATGAATTTTTATCAATAGAAGAAAGCAGGTCAGATAATAATTGAACACCATAATCTCTTATACTAGTATTAGATATAGCTAAAAAACTAATTGTTCGAGATATTTTAATAAACGAATTGAATGAATTCTTTTTTGTGTAATTGATATAGTATGACAACCATTTAAATTAGTGGAAGATAAATTCATTATACCAAAAATATGTAATCGTTGATGTTTCGTATGATTTATCCTAAAATGATATATCTTTTTTATTTGTGTCTTTTAATAAATGAAATTCTTGATTGATTATTGTATTTGTATAATTTTTTATTTGATTTATATTGAAGGTTTGATTTATGTTTTTGTTGTGAACCTGTGAAAAAAAAGGAAAGGATACAAATGGGTAAATATATTTAATGTCGATCTTAAGATCATTGAAATCATTTATTTTTTCGAGTTTTTCTAAATTAATCAAAAATTAATTTTTTTAATTTTTTAATTTCTCAATCAAATGATATATTTCTTTGATAAAAGAAAAAAGATACTATAAGTAATAGTTCATAATGATTATCAGCTTAAAAAAGAGAATTTTTCGAATTTTGAAAATAATAATGAATGAAAACGTTTAATTATATTCTATTATGTTATTTTCTCTATATGAATAAAATAATTTATGTCATAGAATAATCGATTAAATATTCTTGGAAACAAAAAAGAAAATATCTATTTAATTTTACCGTAAATTGTGATAGATATTGTATGATTTCGTGAACATTGTTATCTTGCTCGGTATTTGATGATTTCGATATGCACAGTTGTTCTCCTCATATGAACTTTTTTGAGTGATGTTGAAATTTGAAAATTTTCAGGCTTTTCTTTAATAGCTTTTGGTGATGATAGTAGAATTTATCTTGTTCTCTTTAATAAAGTATAAAAAACAAAAAAAACAAGGATTTGTGTTTGCATCTTCTATCTAATCGATAAATATAACTAAAAATGATAATTATCAACTCTAAACAATTGATTTCGAAATGCATTCGTAATCATCCAATATGTACCACAGTTTTTTTCTAACAATTCATGTGACTTTTTTTTCATTTATTTATAATAAAACGTTAATTATAAAATTTTGTTTTTTTTTTTAACTGAAATACATAAAAATATGTACAAGAGTAAATCAGTGAATATAGATATTCTAAATAAATCTATTTAATCATAACAAAATGTTACTTTTTTTTTGAAAAATAATATTAAATAACTTTCTAATTAAGTTAAATTTGAAAATGATTATTTATACTATCTCCATTCTATTAAAATATCAAACACAAAATATAATTTATAGCTATAATTAGAAAAGGATTATATTAAAAGAAAAAAAAATATATTTATTAAATCTTAAATTTTGAAATCATTGGAAAAATGAAATTACTAAATATTTTATATAATATAGTAAGACGTTATCAATTTATCGTCTTTGATCACATGTTGAGAATGACTTCGATATATGATCATTGAGATAATTAGTCAAAAGTTAAAGTACAGTGTGTCCCAAAAGTTTTGTTGTATATTTTTGCCATTTCATTTAACTTTATAGACATTTTTTTTAAATTAAAGGTAAAAGTATCGCGTTTTTATTTATCTGAACCATCTTCCATACTTACTTGCAAAAGTGTCACTTTTGATCGAAATACAAAAACTTTTGCTTTCTTTGTGAAATGCTAGGAATTGGAAAATCAACTAAGTTTTTTTCTTTCATATTTTCAAATGGATGGATAAATCGTGTCGAGTTCTACAAAAATATGTATATTGAAAGATTTTTAACCCTTTTCTTTGATGCGGAATTTATAGAAAATACCTCAGGACGTCGAAATAACTAAAGAAAGAAAAAGATGCAGAATAGTTTTCTGGATATACAAAGAAAGCAAAATTTTTTGTATTTCGATCAAAAGTGATACTTTTGCAAGTTAGTATGGAATGTGGCTCAGATAAATAAAAACTCGATATTTTTACCTTTAGTTTAAAAAATAATTTGTCGATAAAGTTAAATGCAATAGCAAAGATATACAACAAAACTTTTGGAGCACCCTGTATATATACTCTTATGAATTACTTTTACAATTTTTTTATAATAAAACTGAGTTTTTATTTATAATTTAAGTTCATAATAGAGTGATTTATACTTGTTATATTATGTTATAATATCAATTATGTTTAAAAATAAAAAAAAAATTAAATAAAAGTGAAAAACATGTTGAAAGGTATTAAATGTACAACCTATGATTAAAAAATTGATCTATTGCGATAATTTTTATCAATCTGAAAACTTCAAATAAATTTTCTAATCTTCTGAACTTCTCTCATTGGTTTATACTAATTAAAAGATATAAAAAACTGATTAATATGAATTATTTTAATAATTAACACAATTCATATATATATATATATGCATCCATGTATGTATAGTAATAATAATCAACAATGATTTATTCTTATAACACGAGATATTGGAAGAATCTTTTGAATATTAAATTACGTTAATCATCTAAAGAAAATATTTTTTGTAATGATTTTCGTCAAAAGCTTCATAAATTGCAAATAAAATCAAATTTTAAAAATACGAATTTATATGTTTGTTTGACACATTACTTAGATGGCAGCATTTCTTTTGAATTTGAAAGTATGTTCATTAAATGATATAATCGAAACGGATCCAATCGAAACCACGATTTATTCTGTATATTAAATTCGGATGAAGGAAATAATAATACGATCGATTATACATATATATGTATAGCGACAAATAATTAATTAGAAACCGTCAATATTATTTGTATAACGAAGGTCTTTTTTAGATTAATCAGTCAATTATCAGCATATAAGTATATCCTAAGCATTTTTTGTGTTTTAAATTATCCGCTTGTGATGATTCAGTAATAAAACGAGTATAAAATATTTAATCAAAAAAAAAAATTTTTATATATAAACAATGAACTACTACAAGATACCGAACGCATTATTTTAATGATGACAATATTGTAATCAATTGATTCAGCAATCAATCCATTTACAAAGAATTGTCTTATCCTATGTAAATCATATATCCTCTATAATCAGGAGCAAGAAATGGGGACTAAAGAAAAAAAAGTAACAAATTCGATCAGTATCCGATATAATTGTCCTTTATGACTGTTCATGCAAGTAGAACGAGCAAGGGGGTGGGAGATGGGCGCTAAACGAAAAAAAAGTGGAACAAAATTATTTTCTTTTAAAATTGCATCTAAGCAAAGCGCACCTTCTAGATTATTTACGGCAGTAAATCCTGTATACGCTGTTGAATACATGAAAAAAAACAATCGCGCCTAATTTTACTTTGTTTTTTCGATTTTAATTGTCTCAATACAAACAATACAATATTTGTCATTTTCGGAAGCTATTTATGAAGTAACTAATAATGCTTTTGGGAGAAACTCAACGGATAGTATGGCTCAGATCTCGATACTAGGACCTCGCGTTTTAACTACTCTTTTTGGAGTTTCTGTTCTTGAGATAATCGCGAGAGAAAATGACAAATTTTAAAGTAAAATTAATTATCTCGAAACTTGAAAAACACTAAGTCCTTAAAAGTTGCCTAATTTGGACAATATTTGTAAGCAAACCAAATATGTTATCGGAGATTTGAAAATAAAAGGTATCGAAGTTTTTTCTGCGTACATCAAGTAAGTAAGAGTAAAAATCAACTCGCGTATGACTACATGAATGCTGTGCTTCGAACTGCATTAAATATAACAGTTACATTCGTATCAAATC